CAGGGGACGTGCCATGGGAACGCGCCGCGGGACGTGCCGAGGGGACGCGCTACGGAACGTTAAAATGCGTGGCCTTGCTCGGGGCAACTATGTTAGATCGGAGGTTGGGGGGTGAGATCGCAGTGTAACGGAGTCCCCCCACCGGGAAATCGAGTTTCGAGTTCGCGCTCGTGCCGTGCGTGCGGGCGAGGCGAAGCTGCGTGGGCCAGCGAGAGGAATTCACTCTGCTTTCGCTAGGGGTCCGCCAACACAAAAGTTTTTCCCCCCCGGGCTTGTCAAGCGGTAGCCCACGTTGTCCCGTCGGTTGTCCGCCGGTTGCTCATCATGGTTGCTCATCATGGCTGCTCGTCATGGTTGCTCATCATTGTCCCGCCGGTTGCTCATCATGGTTGCTCATCATTGTCCCGCCGGTTGCTCATCATGGTTGCTCATCATGGTTGCTCATCATGGTTGCTCATCATTGTCCCGCCGGTTGCTCGTCATGGTTGCTCATCAGTGTCCCGCCGGTTCCTCATTATGGTTGCTCATCATGGTTGCTCATCATTGTCCTGCCGGTTGCTGGGACGTCGTGGGCTGAGTGCCGCGTCGCGCAGCGGCAAACCGAACGACACAAGTCGCCCAAGCGAAGGAACAACAGAAAATCCGCCACGTCATCCACACCATCATCGCCCATCAGCACCACATTCATTACAGTTGTCGTCATGAGCCCCCCCCCTCCCCCCACCCCCCCACAAGCTCCTTATCACCCGCAGGGTGGTCGTATAGGTATCCCCCTGGATGGCCTGGACACCTAAAAACACGTGGTGCCAGCTCGGGAAACCATGCTATATACACCCCGGAATAGCCTGGACTCGTTCCAACACTGCACGTGGTCCTTGCTCAGAACAATCATGTTAGATACCCCCCTGGGTGGTCTGGATGCGTAAAAACACATGGTTCGAACTCGGGACAACCATGTTAGATATCCCCCTGGGTGGCCTGGACACGTAAAAACACATGGCTCCAGTTCGGGACTACCATGTTAGATCCCCCCTGGGTGGCCTGCACACGTAAAAACACGTGGTCCAGCCCACCCGGTGGGGATATCTAACATGCAGTCGTCTGGAGCGCAGGAGGGCCCAGGAACGCCCAGAGGCGCCTGGAGGCCAAAAAACAAACGAACCGATACCATAACATAAACTTTAGACGTTCCGTTCCGAGTCCAAGGAAGGATCCAGGAGGCCCATGTTAGATACCCCTTGAGTGGCCTGGACATGTGAAAACACGTGGTTCCAGCTCGGGACCAACATGTTAGATACTCACGTGGATGGCCTGCACACGTGAAAACACGTGGTTCCAGCGCGGGACCACCATGTTAGATACCCACCTGGGTGGCCTGCACACGTGAAAACACGTGGTTCCAGCGCGGGACCACCATGTTAGATACCCCCCTGGGTGGCGTGGACACATGAAAACACCCGGTTCCAGCGCGGGGCCACCATGTTAGATACATCCTCTGGGCGACCTGGGCACGTGAAAACACGTGGTTCCAGCGCGGGACCACCATCTTAGACACCCCCTGGGTGGCCTCGACGGGTGAAACACGTGGTTCCAGCTCGGGCCAACATGTTAGAGATACTCACCTGGGTGGCCTACACGTGGCTCCAACGCGGGACCACCATGTTAGATACCCATCTGTGTGGCCAGGACACGGAAAAACGCGGCACCAGCTCGGGACCACTATGTTAGATACCTACCTGGGTGCCCTGGACACGTGAAGCGACGTGGTTCCAGCTCGGGCAGAACATGTTAGATACCCTGCTGTGTGGCAAGGAAACCCTGGCAAACCAATCAAATTTGTCGAGACATCCTCGAAATTCATGCGCGCGGGACGCGGCACGCGCGAGACATCCTCGAAATTCCTGCGAGCGGGGCGTGAAAACAAGCATCTCGCCTGAGACATCCTCTGAATTCTAAACCCCCACGAGGCCCCCTCGTGGGTTTGCAGAGTTGGGGGATGTCTAGACATCCCCCAACTCTGCAAAACCAGCGTTTCGCTCGAGACATCCTTAACAAATTGTGAAAAACAAGCGTTTCGCCTGAGACAACCTCAAAAATAATTCCGCTGGCCTCCTTCAAATTCATCACGTATCGCAAAATAATTCCGCCGGCCTCCTTTAAGTTGAAACTGGGGGTAACAATACTAAAAGAGAACCCTAGGCCGGCGCCCTTTCCAAGAGTAAATACGTTTCGCTCGGGACATCCTCAAAAATAATTCCGCGGGGGAGGAAACCTCTGAAAAACAACCCTGGGCCCACGCCCTTTCCGCGAAACCGGCATTTCCCTCGGGACATTCTCAAAAATAATTCCGCTGGCCCTCTTCCCGCCTTGTTATTTATCGCAGAATAATTCCGCCGGTCCTCTTCCCGTCGGGTCCGGGGGGAAACCTCTAAAAGAAAACCCTGGGCCTGAGCCTTTTTCTGGGAATCAAAATGCAAATCCGTCAAATACACAAGTATCTATGTAAACCTTTTCCTCCGTTCCTTTACTTCCACCACCTGTCCTCCCCTTCCCAATGTCCCTCCTCCGTGCTTCCGCGCGTATCCCCGCCAAATATACTACTACAACTGCTCCTACTCCGACTCATACCTACACGTCCACTTCTGCGATTGTAACGACGACTACTCCTACTCCGACTACTACTACTACTACTACTACTACTACTACTACTACTTCTCCTACTACTACTACTACTACTACTACTACGACTATTACTACTACTACTACTACTACTACTACCACTACTACTACTACTACTACTACTACTACTACTAATATCACCACTACTTCTACTACTTCTACTTCTACTACTACTACTACTACTACTACTAGTACTACTACTACTACTACTACTACTACTACTACTACTACGACTACTACAACTACTACGGCTACTACTACTACTACTACTACTACTGCTAGTAGTCCTATTACTTCAACTACTCCTACTACTACTACTCCAACTACGACTCCTACGACCACTACGGCTACGGCTACGGCTACGACTACGACTGCGACTACGACCAGTACTACTACTACTACTACTACGACGACGACGACGACGACTACTACTACTACCACTACTACTACTACTACTACTACTACTACTACTATTACTACTACTACTACTACTACTACGAGTACGACAAAGACGACGACAACTACTACTACGACGAATCCGACTACGATTAGTACTACTGCTACTACTACTACAAAGATGACGGCAACGACGAAACCTCCTCCTCCTCCTGCTCCGCTTTCTCCTCGTAGAACGACTACTACTACTACTACTACTACTACTACTACTACTACTACGACTACTACTACTACTACTACCACGGCTAAGACTACTACCATTACGACATCGACTACGACTACTACGACTACGACTACGACTACTACTAATACTACTACTACTACTACTACTACTACTACTACTACCAGTACTACTACTACTACTACTACTACTACTACTACTACTACTACGGCTACTACTACTACGACTACTACGACTACTACGACTACTACGACGACTACTACTACTACTAATAAAAATACTACTACAACTACAACTACGACAACTACTTTTCCGACTACTACTACGACTACGGCTACATGTTTACGACTCCTACTACGGCTACGACTACGAATACGACTATTCTTACTACTACTCTTACTACTACTGCTACTACTGCTACTGTTACTACTACTAATAATAATGATAATAGTCTTGGTAATATGCGATTGCTGCTCCTACGACTACTACTACTACTACTACTACTAGCACTACTACTGCTACTGATACTACTACTACTACTACTACTACGACTACGACTACCGTTGCTACGACGACTACTACGACTACTACTACTACTACTACTACTACTACTACTACTATCTCGACCACTAGTAATACCACTACGTTTACTACTACGACTTCTACTACTACTACGACAGCAACAACAACAACTACTACTACTACTAGTTCTACTACAAGCTCTACGACTAAAACTACTACGACTACTACGACTACAACTATTACGACGACGACTACTGCTACTACTACTACTATCACTGCTACAGGTACTCCTACGACGACGACTACTACTACAACTTCTACTACGACGGTTCCAAGTACGACTTCGACTACGACTGCGACCACAACTACGACTACGATTACGACCACGACTAGTACTGCGACTGCTACTACTATTACTACTACTACTACTACTACTACTACTACTACTACTACTACTAATGATATAACTAAAACGGCTCTGACGACGACGCAGACGACGACTACTACTAATACTACCACTACCACTACCACAACTACGACGACTACTATTACTACTAGTACTCCTACTTTTGCAACCACAAGTGCTACTACTAATCCCTGCTGCTCTTACTGGTACTGCTACTACTTCTACGACTACCACCACTACTACGAGTACTACTACTACTGCTTCTACAGCTGGGATTGCTACTACTACTACTACTACTACTACTGCTACTACTACTACTACTACTACTACCACCACCACCACTACTCCTACTACTACGACTACTACTACTACTACTACCACCACCACCACCACCACCACCACCACGACTACTACTACTACTACTACTACTACGACGACGACGACTACTACTACTACTACTACCACTACCACTACTACTACTACTACTACTACTACTACTACTACTACTACTACTACTACTACTACTACTGCTACTACTATTACTATTACGACTACTACCACTACTATTACGATTTCGACTTCGATCCACACTCCGACTCCAACCACGACTCCGACAACCACTCCGACTACGACTACGACTACGACTACGACTACGTCCACACCTACCACCACGACTACTACCATCTACCCTGTACCGTCACTGTCTCCTGCTACCGGTTACTACAATACTGGGAGGAGCAAAGCTGGGCCATGCACTGGGGGCACAGCAGCAACAGGCTGCTGAACCACCGCGGCGGCGGCCACTGCAACGGGCTGCACCTCCGCCGCCATTCGCTACCCACTCTTTTATGTAATGCCCCTTGTGCTGCGACGGAAGACTTCGAGGCCGCAAGCTGGGAGCAAGTTGTCCATGCCTTGGTAGCAGTCCTAACTGTGCACCGACAGAACGAGCGTGATCGACTGAAAGCCCCAGAGGTCCTCGGCTAATATCGACGATCTCCGAAGTTCAAATGTGTTGTCATCCCGCTGGGGAAGCGCAACACGAGATGCGCCACAGTGTCATCTTTCGATCCAGAACTCTGCACCTCCCCCTTCATGTTGGATGACACGGTGATGGTATATGTCTAAACGTTAGGCATACATGTCGACAACAAATCATTGCGATGCAGCCAGGTCGCATAGAGCAGTACTCTCACGGGGACTCCCACGTGAAGCGCGGGCTGCGAATGTGTGTATGCGGCTGCGTGTCTGTCTGCATCTCTGCTGTTCCCGCTCGGCTGTTTGGCGGTTGTCGCGCCTGGCCTTCACCCATTTCGGCTGCCGTCGTGGTGCTACAGGTCCAACGTTGTCTGTGACTACTGTCGCCAGGACACCCGGCCACCTTTCCGTCCTCTCCGCCCTCTTTCGACTACCCTGTCCGCCGCCGTGCCCCCTGGCTTGTCGAGGCGCGGTAGAATACCAAGTGCTGTCAGGCAGGGTTTCTACATTCTTCTACGGGCCCCTCGTTTTGTCGCATCCTGTCAAGTGCATCGCACCGCCTCCCGAGGTTTTCTACGCGACGCCACGCCTCCTGGCGTTCTCAGAGGCGTCCAAAGTGTCCCAGATGGCTTCCAAGACGGCCCAGGCAGGTCATCAAGGCCGTCCAGACGGCTTAAGATGCCTCCAAGACAGCCTACTGTGGCCCCAACACAGCATCAGATGGCCTCCAGACTGCCTTATGAGGCCCTCTGGACAGCACGAGACGGCTGCAATGCATGCTTCGAGAAGGCCCCAAGAACTCTGAACCGGTGATTCCCACAAGGTTTCGGAAAGATGTCAAATTTCTCGTCTGTTCAGGCTTATCAACGCAAGATACTCCACAAAACTTTCAAGATCGGCCCAAGACGGCCTAGAATGGCCTTGAAATTCCCCAATACGCGTCCAAGACGTCCTCCTGACGGCCCAACCGAGCTCCAGGAAGGCCTCGGACGGCCCCAAGTGCTTCCCAGGCCAGCACCATAGGAATTCATGAACCCTCAATGGCTCCAGGCAAGCCCAAGACAGCCCCACGGCGGAACCAAGAGGCAACCCAGACGGCCAAGATAACCCCATGACGGCCGGGGAGAGCCCCAAGACAGCCGAGAACGGCCCCAACACGGCTCAGCAAACTCGCAAGGATACCCACGACTGCCCTGCAGGAGCCCGGAAGGGACCCAAGACGCTCTACGAAGGCGACTCAACAAGTGAAGACAAGAGGTGTCACATGTGACGGCTTTCAGTTTCCTTCTATTCCTCCTCCTCCTCCTCCTCACCAACACTACCAGAAGCAGCAGCAGCACCACCACCTTCGCCACCAACACCATCATCATCATCAGCAGCATCATCATCATCATCATCATCATCATCAGCAGCATCATCATAAGAATCATCATAATCGGAATCATGATCATCATCCTCATCAACATCAACATCATCAACATCATCATCATCATCACCACCATCAGCATCATCACCGGCATCATCGTCAGCATCATCATCATCGTCACCACCATCATAGTATCATTCTGCATCATCATCATCCTCTGAATCATAAGCATCACCATCATCACCATCGCGATCATCAGCAGCATCATCATCAGCGTAATCATCATCGTGATCATCATCGTAATCATCACCACGAACACCACCACCAACACCACCATCATCACTACCGTCACCATCATCATGGCCGTCACCAACATCCTCGCAATCACCATCACCAGCAATATCATTATCACCATCATCAGCAGCATCGTCATCATCATCTTCCTCCTCCTCCTCCTCCTCATCGTCATTGTCATCGTCATCAGCATCATCATCTTCACCACCATCACCATCACCACCATAACCACCACCACAATCACAACCATCATCAGCATTTCCATCATCAGCAGCAGCATCAGCAACATCATCATCAGCATCGGCATCGTCATCGTCATCGTCATCATCCTCATCACCATCACCATCACCACCACCACCACCATCATCATCACCATCCCCATCATTATATCAAACCTTCTCCTCCTCATCATCAGCATCATCACCCCCATCTGAGTCATCAGGCAAATAATTATCACCATCAACAGCAAGATCATCAAGACATTCTACCACACCATCGTCTGCCACAGTCTTCACCGAGGTCCCCAAGACGGCCAACACACAAAAATGCCAATGGATCCCCGAGACTGCCCAACAGGAGCCTAGGACTGCTCCAAGACGGCCCAAATGAACTGTATGAATGCTTGTCGTGAAGTGTAGACAGGAAGAGTGAGCGAACCTGCCAGTCGTCATCCTCTCGTCGTCGTCATCATCATACTCCTACTCCTCCTCCTCCTCCTCCTCCCCGTCCTCGTCCTTCTCATCATGATCGCCGTCGGCGCGGCCACCCTCATCCACCCGAGCAGCTACCATCGAAAATGCTTGGTCGGCATAGTTGGGGTCAATACGCACGCAGCTGGATTACGTGTTCTGCCACACCTACCATGTTCCCCTTCGGCCGTTTTTAGTCCCGCCCACTCGGCATGGCCTGCTGGTGGCGTTTCCTCCGCCCCCTCCCTCTGCGTTCTGGCCTCGTTGTGCCTGCTCGACCGCCCGGCGCCGCTCGGCGGTGCCCCCCCCCCCCGCCGCTCCTCCTCATCCTGCTCCTCCTCCTCCTGCTCCTCCTCCTGTTACGTTTGACCAACGTAATGAACGAGCCTGTCGCCCTCTTGCAGGTACTGAGAAAATGATCGAATCTGGAAATGAAAAGCATGGCAACGTTTTCAAAAACATCTGATTGAACGACGGGCAAATGCAATGCTGAATGTATCGATCTTCATGTACCGTGCCGAGGGCTGTACTGTGCTGCGCCGTGCTGAATTGCGATGTGCCATGCCGCGTTCGCTGTGTAGATCGCGTCCTCCTTTGAATCCGAGTCCTAGCCGAACTGAGATTTACCTTAAGCTCAAGATGCCTGAGCACATAGTAGCCGCCCCAGAGCGAATTGGCAGGGGAACATGCCGGGGGGACGCGCCGCGGAACGTCCCAAGGGACGCGCCAGGGGACGTGCCAGGGGACGTGCCATGGGGACGCACCGCGGGACATGCCAAGGGGACGCGCCACGGAACGTGCCAATGGACGTGCCACGGGACGTGCCAAGGGACGCGCCGCGCAACGTGCCAGGGGAACTCGCCACGGGACGCGCCACGGAACGCGCCAAGAAACGTGCCAGGTTGCAATACTGAGTGTATCGATCTTGATGTACCGTGCAGAGGGCTGTGCTGAATTGCGATGTGCTATGCCGCGATTGTGCTCTATAGCGTCGTGGATCGAGTCCTCCTTTGCATCCGAGTCCTGGTCGAACTGAGATTTATCTTAAGCTCGAGATCCCTGAGTACATAGTAGCTGCCCCAGAGATAATTGACAAGGGGACATGTCAGGAGGACGCGCCGCGGAACGTCCCAAGGGACGCGCCAGGCGACGTCCCAATGGGCGTGCCATGGAGACGCACCGCAGGACGTGCCAAGGGGACGCGCTACGGAGCGTGCCACTGCACGTGCCATGGGACGTGCCAAGGGACGCGCCGCGCAACGTGCCAAGGGGACTCGCCACGGGTGCCAGGGACCGTGCCAGGGCCACGGTCCCTCGTAAACTACGCTGCGTCCACGCTCCGAAGGCTGCGTTCCCTCGTGAATTACGCTGCGTCCACGCTCCCAGGGCTACGTCCTTAGCACATACGCTGCATTCGGACTCCCAAAACCACCTGGGCATCCTGGGGCGCCCAGGCCGCTCAAGTTTAGCAAAACAAGTGTTTCGTTCGAGCCACCCTCGAGACTCCTGGGCACGTTAAAACAAGCATTTCACATGAGAAATCCTCAGAATTCTGGTCCCCAGGAGATGAACGATCTATAGCACACAACAAACATTTCGCTCGAGACATCCTCAACACACTATGCAAAACAAGCGTTTCGCTAAGGACATCCGCAATATTTGAATTCGCCGGCCCACCCTTTCCTTGTTATTTCTCGCGGAAGAAATTCGCTGGCGCACCTCAAATCGATTGCGGGGGTAAACCTCTAGAATATGATCGACCCACGAGCACGGAAAGGAATATAGAAATGTAAAGCATGCCAACATTTCGAAGACACTTTGATTGCACTCTATAGCGTTGTGGATCGCGTCCTTCTTTGCATCCGAGTCCTGACCGAACTGATATTGATCTTAAGCTCGAACTGCCTGGGCATATAGTAGCCGCCCCGGGGCTAATTGACAGGGGGGCATGCCAGGGGGACGCGCCGCGGAACGTCCCAAGGGACGCGCCAGGGGACGTGCCAAGGCACGTGCCATGGGGTCGCACCGCGGGACTTGCCAAGGGGACACGCTACGGAACGTGCCACTGCACGTGCCGCAGGACGTGCCACAGGACGCGCCGCGCGACGTGCCCGGGGGACGCGCCGCGCGACGCGCCACGGGACGCGCCAAGGAACGGGCCAACGATCTTGATGTACCGTGCCGAATGCTGTGCTGTTGTGCGCCATTCTGTTGTGCGCCGTGCAATGCCGCGGTTGTGCTCTATAGTGTTGTGGATCGACTCTTCCTTTGCATCCGAATCCTGGCCGAACTGATCTGGACCTTAAGCTCGAGCTGCCTGAGTACATAGTAGCTGCCCCAGAGCTAATTGACAGGGGGGCATGCCAAGGGGACGCGCCGCGGAACGTCCCAAGGGATGCGCCAGGCGACGTGCCAGGGGACGTGCCATGGGGTCGCACCGCGGGACGTGCCAAGGGGACGCGCTACGGAACGTGCCAATGGATGTGCCACGC